GAATACTCTGTTAATGAGCTCCTGTTTATTAAGACGAGTTTCATAATCAGCTTTCACTCTTAACACCACAAAACCACAGAATGCACTGAAGATCTACGTAGAGCACACCACAGACTGAATAACCATCAAGAATAAACTAGATATTTGCACTTGTCAGACATAAACTGGTCAAAATCAGAGTAGAAAAACATCAACAAAATGATTTAGGAACAAATCACAAAGTCAGTTCAAGCCCAGCTTCTAGATGACATGATACAGTTTTCTTATGTCTTCAAATAACAAAGTGAAAAATGAAGCAAAAAGCTTCTGAGAGATTTTTGATCTGTGGATTTAAAAAGCACAACTTTTATTTTGATTCATTCACAGGTCTGAGGACTGGCAGGACAGTCAGATTCTGCCAAACAGCTCAGTTATATGAAGCAGGGCAAAACTGCTTGCATCCATTTTTCATTGCTATTGATTCATAAACTGGATTTCCCCACAGATCACCTGAGTAAATGATTATAAGGAAGAAGCAGTAAGTGACACATTATACGCCAGTTATACAGCAACAAGCATACATTGACAAACTATTATACAGTGGTGCTTGAAAGTTCGAGAACTCTTTATAATTTTCTATATTTCTGCATCAATATGACCTAAAGCATAATCAGATTTTCACACAAGTCCTAAAAGTAGATAAAGGGAACCAAGTTAAAGAAATTAGACAAAAAGAGTATACCTTGTTCATTTATTTATTGAGGAAAATGATCCAATATTACATATTTGTGGTAAAAGTATGTGAACCTCTAGGATTATGTTAATTTAAATTGGACTCCACCAATCCACAGTCAGACAGATTGTGTACAAATGGAGAAAATGAAAGAGCATTGTTATCCTCCCCAGGAGTGATGGACCGACAAAGATCACTCCAAGGTGTAGAATAGTGGACGAGGTCACAAAGGAGGTTCAAGGAGGCGACTTTACTGTCATTCTCATCACATGTGGTACATGAGATGGAATTACATTTTGTACTCGAGTTCCCAGTTACAAAAATAGCAAAAATATAAAGTATATACAGTTGTAGTGATGTAAGAGTTCACTACACAGTAGTCCCTCGTTTATCGCGTGAGAGCCGTACCCTGAAGCCCCGCGATAAGTGAAAAACTGAGAAGTATACGTACAAGTAGTAAGTAGTAGTTTATTTGAGTATATTTATTTTAGTAACAATCTTTCTACATTCTAAACTCTCTAAGAGCACAGAATGTCATGATTTCAGCTCCCTGCCTGCTGCCCTGTGCCACCTGCAAGCACTCTTGGCCACGCCCACTTCACCATTCTGCACGGAGAACAGCTGATCAGCTGCAGCAGGAAGCTTATCCTGCAGTGTGGGCTGCACAAAGGTGCAGCAGGTGCTAAATAATTTATTTTAAATAAAAAGTCCATGCCAATCGTGCAGCTCATCCATCAATCTGCCAGTTGCGTGTCATGTCCAATCTTATTTTGAAAAACCACGATAGAGCGAGTCCGCGATAAACGAACCAGGAAGCAGCGAGGGATTACTGTACTGATATAGTAAAATATGTCCTCCTTTTGACGGGCGTATAAAAAATGAGTTCTGCACATTAGAAGGCAACAAACCAAGAAACAAATGATCTGTCTCTGATTATTACCGGCAGCTTCACATCTAACAGGTATGAAATATGACTTCAGTCACTTATGATCAAATGCATCAGAATTAGATTGTTTTCAGTGAAAGTTTTCACTTCACCACTTGCTCTTGCCGAGATCGGACGCTTTCCCATCCTCTCCCTCTCCACTTTGCTTTGCTGCTCTCTCTCTGTGAAACTGCTTGTGAGCCTCTCTTGCATTTCTTCTGAACCATAATTATGGACTTGTTTTGATCAGTTGGTCCCTCATCTCAATTTACAACATTTCTTCGAAGAGAAGACAGGCTTTAGGCGAGCCGATTTGCCCTGTTGGCACGCACGCAGCTGGATATCTCATCGACTTGGAAGACTTGATGATGTGTCTATCTCTGCTGCCATTTGTGAACTTTAAGGACGCATATTTAATTGGATTTTTGATAACTGGTTCCTGCTTTTTGGATTCAGCTGGTGCTGGTTTTATATACAATCAAGGAAGTCGTCGGCAGCAAATTTGGACCTGATCACGCTGCTTGCCTTTATGATGGCTTGGTTCGTGCCTCGAGTACCCAGACTCAAATGCTTTGGGCAGAATGGATCAGATCTTGGGGATTTTACTCAGTCACGTTCCATCGGTGTGGCCATGTAATTTGGACATTTTGGAACCGAGTGGACCAACACAGACTCAAGGCAGATGTCATTAAGTTATGCCTGTCCCCAAAACATCTGTATATTTATCTGAATTTGGCTCCCTTGGCTGGCCTTGAAGGCCATCTTATCTGAATTTGCCTGGAGAACATGTGATCTGACGCTCACCACCCCCTCCCTGAGGAATTTCCAACTGATAACCAGATGAAAGCAGCTGAATAAACTTTGTGTCATCATTTCAGGACTCTTGGATTCTCATAGACGTTATTCTTGGCCATTCCTCGACATCCCTTGAGAATGTTTATGGATCTCACCGGAGGACATTGACTGATTATTCCATCCTTATCAGGACTCTTACAGTGCCCTCGAGAGCGTCTATGAACATGCTCACCGCTCTCATCGTCTCCCTCTCTAGAATGTCTACATCAATATGTGCTTGTTTGTGCGAGGTGTTTATTAATATCAGAGCAGGAAAAAACGTCTGATAGGAATTTTTTGCCTCCAACTCCTCCATGTGTCCAGTTTCACTACTTTTTGTCTGTCCAAACAGATCTCACTTGTAAATGAGTCTTCCAGGCTCAATGTGACTTATCTGTCTAAATAAAGGTTGAATGAATGAATGAAAGACAAAATAAGTTGTTTTATGTCTTTAATTTGATGCTGCTGTTTGAAACGCTGCAAAAATGTGCACTTTTTTTTTCACCAATTATTTTTTGTTATGACAATCAGCACAGCAGGAAGTTTGCTTCTTGCTCATATTTTTTAAATGCAACTATTAAAGTAGGCCAATAAAACTGCAAACACATTAATTTTCTGAATATTTAACAATCTTTCAGGGTTTTGTTTAGATAGATGTTCTCTTCTTTTGCACTGATTGGTAATTTTCAGAATATTAATTTGTCCTTCAGCAGAACAGCATTCAGAGATATTTTGTGTCCGTGTGCTTTTTTAAAAGGAAGACTGTTTCAGCTTCAGTGTGTTTCCCCCCACCAGCCCCCACCCTCTGATGTTACCTGACGTTGTCATGCTTTTGGATGTAGATCTTATGAAACATCATGTCCTCCTGCTTGACGTTTATGTCTGCTTTCATCTCCATGGCAACGTGGCGAGGAAGTACAGAGAGGAGGAGACGCTCCTGCAGGAACGTAAAGACAAGTTAAGTTTGACGTACAGGTCAGGGAGTTAAAAAATACACCAGCTATGAGAAAAATAAGGACTTAATAAACAATTTTAACTCTGTTTGAAAGAAATATGCAGAGAAGGTCTCACAAATTATTTAGAAAACTGTTTAAATTCTGACCTTTACTGTGTAAAAACACATTTTCTGTTGACGAGCAAAAGATTTAATATTTGTCTTTAGGGGGGATTTTATGGTTCAATTGGCGCACCTGTTTGTTGTTTCCTCCTTTATGCGCACCTGTTTGTTGTTTCCTCCTTCATCTTTTATCATATAACTGTTCAGTCGGTGTTTAGAAGTCAGCAGAGCATTTTACATTTTACATGTCGTCTGGTGTCTGTTTACCCCATAGGCAGTGGTGGAGAAAGTACTCAAACACTGTACTTAAGTAAAAGTACAAATAAACAGACAAAAATGTACTCTAGTAAAAGTAGAAGTACCACATTAACATTTTTACTTAAGTAAAAGTAAATACAACAGCTCCACACCGCATGCAGAGTTTCTCCTCCGTCAGCTGCCTTGGCAAGGCGCTCACGGGGGGAAGAAGGGGAGACACCTCTGTTTTGCGCGCTAGCTTAGCGCTATGTTAGTGCTGGCAGTTGTTGACAGGGTGGGGTGGGGGGGTGGGGGTTAGGATGTGAGAAAGAAGCAGAATGCAACGTCCGTTTTTATGGCTAAATGTGTAGCATCTTAGTTAACACATCTGTATTAGCTTAGCGCTACTTCCTGCAGTTTCAACGTGGGGGCGGGGGCTCTATTCACACAAGGTGAGCTGTTGGTCAGACTACTTCTTGGTGTGCCATTTTCTCTAAAAGTCATTTTTTGAATCAAGTGTTAACCTATGTAGGTAAATGTACCGGTAAATGTTTAACAACCTGTTAAGAATTGGCATTTATTTTATTAAAAAATTTCTTGGGGAGGACCTCTAGACCTCCAAAGGCTTTTCTTAACGTTTTAATAAATATAGTTGTTTTTTTATTATAACTCCTCAAGTACTTCTGTATTCCTGGGTCCAATACCTCCTGACACTGTGACATTTAAAGCTCAAATTTTATAGTGATTCATGCAAATTTTATTTAAAAACTTTTTTCCTTAGCGCTGTTTTTACAATTCATGTTTTTTTGGCAGAAATATTATAAAATTCCTGTCCAAAGAGACCCCAGGATGCATGGGAAGTGCTACAGCTAGCTGCTGTTATTGCTCCTTGCATGTGCAAATACCCAGAGACAAAAATAATCATGTAATGCAAAACTGACAGCAGTGTGAAAGTCTTTGAAACATTTTAACTACATGGACTGCGAGGACATTTTTTAGATTACAGTTGTTTTAAGAGACTAGAAATCCACTTTATTTTTTGCTGCATTTGGACGAGCTGTTAACTCTTTATAGCTTTTCCACAGAAATCCACTTAAAACAGCTGGAACACCCTTTTATTATGGA